TCACTGCTCTCCACTTGGACATCGAGCCGCTGCCGCACCTCTTTTAGTGCGACCGTCCAGCCAGTTCTTCATCCACCGAGTGGTCCATTTGTCCAATCCATGTCTCTTCAATTTAGAGACCAGGATGTCGTGTGGGACACTGTCAAATGCTTTGCACAAGTCCAAGTAGATGACATCAGTTGATCTTCCCTTGTCCACTGCCGTTGTAACCCCTTCTTAGAAGGCCACCAAATTTGTCAGGCGTGACTTGCCCTTGGTGAAGCCACCTTGTTTTCCATGTGCCTCAGCCGAGTTTCCAGGAGGACCTGCTTCATGATCTTGCCAGGCACAGAGGTGAGACTCACTGGCCTGTAGTTCCCTGGGTCTTCCTTCTTTCCCTTTTTAAAAATAGGGGTTATGTTTCCCCTTTTCCAGTCGGCAGGAACCTTGCCAGACCGCCATGACTTCTCAAATATGATGGCTAGGGGGTTAGGGACCTCATCTGCCAGTTCCCTCAGGACCCACGGCTGTATCTCATCAGGTCCCATGGACGTGTGCACCTTCAGGTTCCTCACATGGTCTCACACTTGATTTTCACCGATAGTGGGTGGTTCTTCATTTTCCCAATCCTCGCCTTTGCATTCTGCGTCATGGGCAGTGTGGCTGCAGTCCTTGCCAGTGAAAACTGAGGCAAAAAAGTCGAGGACCTCAGCTCTGTCTCTGTCCCGCTCCCTATAGGCCTCCTTTTTCCTTTTGGTCACGTCCAGGAGCTCACTGTTCATCCATGCAGGCCTCCTGGCTTTCCTGCCTGCCTTCCTCTTTGTAGGGATGCATCACTCCTGAGCTTGGAGGAGGTGGTCCTTGAATGTTAACCTACTTTCTTGGGCCCTTCTTCCCTCCAGCGCTTCATCACATGGCACCATACCAAGCAGATTCTGCAAGAGGCCAAAGTCAGCTCTCCCAAAGTCCAGTGTGGTCTACCTGCTGTGCACTTTCCTCGCTGCCTCGAGGATCTCAAACTTGACCATTTCATGGTCTATACAGCCCAGGCTGCCCTTGAGTTTGACACTGTCTACCAGCTCCTCCTTGTTGGTAAGAACAAGGTCCAGCATTTCTCCTCTCCTCATTGGCTCCTCAACCACTTGGAGAAGGAAGTTGTCATCAATGCAATCCAAGAACCTCCTGGATTGCCTATGCGTGGCTGAGTTACCCTTCCAACAAATGTCGGGGTGGTTGAAGTTGCCCATGAGAACCAGAGTCTGTGAATGTGATGCCGCCCCTATCTGCCTATAGAGGGCTTCATCCACTTGGTCTTCTTGGTCAGGTGGCCTGTAGCAGTCCCCCACTGTAATGTCCCCTGCTCCCAATGTCCCTTTAATCCTGACCCATAGGCTCTCAGTTGGCTCTTTATGCATCCCTAGGCTGAGGTCCACACATTCCAGCTGCTTGTTAACATGTAAAACAACACCGCCTCCTCGCTTCCCTTGCCTGTCTCTCCTGAAGAGCCTGTAGCCTTCCATGGCAACACTCCAGTCATAGGAGTCATCCCACCATAAGCTGTTGTATGAACATCTTAAGTAGACGACACTGCTGTCAAAAATATTTCACAATCTAAGGCAAGGGAACGCAAAGGAGTACCAGCCCCAGCATTCCCTTAAGATTTAATGGTATCTAGTTATATGAACTTTGTTCATAACAGATCAAAACCATAGATAACCAGAGCAAGCATGAACAATCAAACAGAAGAGAAGGCTTTAAAAAAAAAAAAAAGGGAGGGGGGAGGGAGGGATTAGTGGTGTATGTACTGCTGCTTTGACTTCTCTTGCTTACAAACATATTGCAGGATACTTACACTATCTTCTATTTCATCATTGTATCAGTGCTAACTGGAAAGGTGAGCACTTATGACATTTAATAAAAAAGAAAGAAGGGAGTATATTCATCTACAGAGTACTAGCAGAGAGGTGCTGTTCATTGTTTTAGAGAGAGACACCATAAAGTAGGGTTAACAGAAAAATGGCATCTACTTGTGGCTTCAAGAACTGCTGCTGCGTCCTTCTTCTGTAGCAAAACACTTCAAAAGTTTATCTATAACTTAATTAGAATTTATGAATTTGTGTGACTGGATGTCCCCACTTCTATACAAAGCTGGAATCATAGTTAATATAAACAGAAACTCAAAGTAGGAACAGATGTTCAAGTTTTTAAACACAACAACTCTGTAATTCAATGGTGACAGTCAAGCATCTAAAATTAGATGAAGACTGAATACCAACCCATAAGAAACCACCACCTGCAAACAGTTTATAACCATGCAAAATGAAGTTATACTTTCTGATTGTGTTATCTTCAAATAATGTATTTACTAAAAAAAAGCTGGTTTGCACACAAAGTCAGTGCAATACAGCTAACTAAAAACAGAAGAGTCAAAAAAATAAAAAAAGTCTTCTTATTGTAGAAACAATTATGCACTACATAAATTGGACATCTCAGCGAGCAAACACATAAATAGTGGAATTAAAAACAATGAAAAGAATTTAAGTACTTAGCCTTCAATTAAAAGAAAGATGTACTGTGCATAATGAACGTACACAGCAATTCAAACTAATAAATTAACAGCAACATTCTTTCTCATTAATTCTAGTTGTACTGTATTGTACCGGGCGCTGAATAAACAGAAGACAGTCTCAAAGCACAGCTTCCATGCCACTGTCTCAGTAAGCTCTTTTACCTTAAAACACAAAAACACACATGCTTTGCTTTTGACTCCTGGCAATAATCTATTATCAGACTCAAATATTCTGCAGCTCAAATATTTCATCCAAGGAGATTTCTTCCAGTCCGTATTCAGTAAGTTATGTCAGTTTTCTTTGTTTTCCAGAACTAGCAAAGCTGCAATTCAGGGTATTGCACTAGGCTTACGAAACACATGAAACCCTGAGGAAGCGGGTGAGAAGGATTCTTAAAATGATGAAAAAGACACAACTTTAAAAAAGCAAAACCCCCAAAAATATCAAGTAATGAATTAGCAGAGATGACAAATCACAGCAACCAGAAGGCCAACAGATTGCTAGAGTACAAGGCATCCAAGTGCAACAGAGCAGCCAGCAAGCTCAGCGTTGGGACAATACCCCACCTGTACTTCAGAAACAGACATCTAAGACTAAAGGTTGAACGTTGGATCCTCAACAACATAAACTTTTAATTACTATCCCTGATACATACACTTACTACAAATATTGATGTGGCACAGAAAAACACCCAGGAGTAGAAATCAGTGGCTGACATTGGGCTGTGCTCTTAAATTATTTAGCCAGTCTTCAAATTCTTGTACATAAAATTTGATGAGTATCAATTGATGAAGTTAAATGGCTATTCAAAATGACAGCAGAAATAAAGATCAGCCATTTCCTTTTACACTGTATCAAAGCATCACTCACCCTGGAGATCCATATTATCAATGTTAGAAGAAATGAAATATAAGACAATGAGTAACAGAAAAAATGTAATGAGAAATTACTCTTTAAAAAAGCTACTTTAAACTTCTTAGCCTAATTACATTCACTATAATAGTCGCTACTGAAAGAACACACTATATTTTTGTCAAAGGTCTAATGAAAAAAAAGGGCATTAACCTCAAAAGTCTATTTATCGGCCTTTTTTTTTTTTAATAACCATTGGAAATTTCCTCTCTGACTTGCCCACAAAAATATTTCTTCCACCCTGTGTTACACGTGCTTCCACACTACTTATACAAATACTGCATTTTATTATTTTCCCTCCTACTCACCATGTTAAATAGAAATAATGCTTCAGTCCACTGTGTTTCATTTTAACACTATTGTCAGGTGAAAAGGCTGACATATCCTTCCTTTCTTCTCCCCCACTATGTTAGTTTGCTCCTCACATGAAATCTGAAGTGCCACAACAGGCTAACAACTTTGTACTGAAGATAAAAAAATTGGAGTATTAAAGTAACAAGCCTTCCACAGACGTGCACTGAAGAGCTGCAACAACAAGAGAGTGAGGAAGGATGTCTCTACAGTTTACTTTTTTTGGCATAAAGGTAACCTTTTAGTTTTGCAGGTAGTTGACCAGGGAACAAATACAGACATCTCAGAACTATGGGAACAGAAGAAAGAAAGAAGATGAGGACCAAAAGGAAATACTAACCCTGTCAATTTCTCTATGTAAAGATTTCCTGCAATAGACTTGACCCGTATTTTTTTTCTTCTCTTATACTTGTTTTGCCCAGTCGCAACTACATTTTTTTTTCCCAAAGCCAAATCTGACTATCAGTGCCAAACACCTTTGATGTAAGAACTCAGATCAGACATCCAAATGAAGAGCAAACCCAAGTTGCAACACCAAGATAAAAAGACAGCAGAAAATTATTCATTAATTGTTTCATAGTTAACAGACAGACCACTACACTGGCACAAACTGAATTTGTTCTTCATTACTTCAGAGCAACAATGAAACATGGTGCTTCTACAGTCACTTTACATCAAATTTTAACTTTTTACAAAGCAAGATCTCCAAGGTAGGAAGTAAAGCCTTCAATGGCAAGCAGAGACTCCCCAAGCTACAGCACCAACTTGAGAGAGCTTTGAGGTTGGAAGCATTAGGAAATAAATGTGTAAAGAACAGGCGTTGTTTCTGTGCAAACCGTATATACTCAAGAAGCTGTGACTAATTCCATATTCTCCTGCTCTAAGATGACAGTATTGAATCCCCAAGCTAACAATTCCCATAAGCTAACAACAGCGACACATCCAGCATCACCTCTGAAATGTGGTCTTCTCATCAATGCCTTTCCCATTTCCCAGTCATCTCAGATATTTTCTAGGCCATTTGCTAAACTCCTCACTATGTGCCTCTTATGAGTCAGGAATACCCTGATAACAACACATTTTTATTACATTTATTCTTCAGCACTGATAACCAAATGATAGGTTTCTTTTTCCCTCCAAACTGTTCTCCTCAATAGCCAAACAGCAACTCAAGCAGACTGAACACTGCCCATTTTCTTTGTCTACATACAAACACAAGCAAGGAGAACAGGCATAGTTCCAACATAAAAATTCTACTACCACAGATGCTAAAACAACGGCACTTCACCTGAGAGTCTCTTTGTTTGCATATTTAAGATGAGGTTTCAGGATCCGTTCACCAAAAGATCTGCCAGAATACCTTCCAATAGCTATTGGAAGCTTTCTCAAAGCTTTTACTTTCTCAAATTCTGGTTTGAAAAATTGTGCTTTGATTTGGACAACTGTGCTTGCAAAAGAAGGGTAAGCCAGAAATGGTATCCAAACAATAAGATGTTTTACAGTTATTAAAAAACTAACAATTCACTGAACCATATTCTTTCATAGCCTACAGCATTACATTTTCTCCCACTTACAACAAAAATTCTTCCTTTTATCTTCACAACTGCCCTCCAGAACACAGTTTGCCACAGTAATACTGGTACAGTAAGGCATCTAAACACCTTTGCACATAGCACCACCCAATCTGCCAAACGCATGCCCTCCTGCCACTTACACAGACTAGCTCGTCTTTGCCAGATATTCTAATATTAGGAGAGTTTCAAAAATCACAGCAGCAGAAAGCAGCCAGAATCTTCTGTGGACACAATCAACTCAGTAATAACTGTACTATAACAAGTATATCTTCACTTGCCACCTGCTGCAGTAACAGCATGACCAAAAGCAGACACAGTTTATTCACCAGTGCCGGAGTGAAGTCACTGGCTGGCATCAGAGGGAATGGACAAAAACGAAGCCAGAAATGCCTCTGTTGAATATGCTCTCAGAAACCAGAATTGGAGCAAGTTCTTGTCAGCATTTACCTGCAAAATGATGCAACACCTCACTTGTGTCAGGAATTCAAGCTACACTAAAGAAAGTGTTCCACAAGTCTTCCAATCAAGCTACTGTAATGGCAGTATTTGTGGCTATGTTGTGTGCTGCTCTGTAACTTGGAGTTTGCTGTACTCAGAGGTGGGCTTGGCGAGGGGATTTCCAAAGACATAGGTGTATGTTGCATAGTGCTGGATGCCCAGAGAAAGTTTGGAAGACAAGGCTCTGCCAACTCTCCTAGGGGTTGCTGATTCCATCGGGGTATAATAGGTTCCTTTGACTTGCTCTCAGCTGAACAGACACAGAGTCAGAAGTGCCAGAACATCTGCCTGTGAAGTGTGTGAATCAGCAGCATTTTTTTTTTCCTGGTGAAGCTTATTGGGTTATAAAGAGCATTTCAGCCAAGGTCTTCTGAAGAAAAAGTGAGAAGCGGAAGACTTCCTCTGCTTGCCACGTAACATATAGGGGGTTGCTAACCTCAACTGAGCTCAGCAAACAGTTAACGTCAGTTAACTTTTTTTATCGTTTCCCTGGTTTGGACAAATCCATCTTGGCTTTGCTGCTGACAAATTAGATAACACAGACTAACTTTTGAACACACTTTGTTACCCTCACCCAGAGGTGATCTATTTCACTATCTTCATAACATTTGATTTTGTCTTTTCCTCATAGAAATTGAAAGAATGTAACTTACCAATTACTCTGTTATGTAAACAAGTTTGAACTTGTACATAGCTAACAAGGCTTGGAAGGGCACAACATCTACTGAATACCTCTTAGTACATGTACTTCCCCATTTTTTGAGGCAACCATGAGACTCTTTTCTTCTTCAATAGATGTCATTTTAATAAGTTGTGGCCTGTACTACCCACAGCAAGGTTTCAGAGACTGTTTTACACTGTTACTTTGATAGCAAATGTTTTCTGGATTTTATCTCTCATCTGCTTCAGCTCAGCATTGCTTGAAAGAAATCATACTTTTTTTTTTTTCCACTTGTCTTGCATCATCAAAAGTATCAAATGTTCTCAGTAAAGGCCTGCAATGTATCTTCTAAATAGCTGCATTTTGGTCTTCACTGTAAACCGATCTTCCCCCATCTTTATGAAGAAGAATGAAGGCTTTGGTTAGATGTTTTTTTTAAGCCCTGTCTCGACAGTTTTCCACATAACACCCACCACACAAAGAACTTCAGTCTTTGGCCAACCCAGGTTTATGAATGGCCACATTGTACAGCGCATTCTTAAGCCTTCCTTCTTCCAAAACTCTGGAAGCTGAAGGCTCACAACGGAAGAGGCAGGGATGGAACCCCCAGACCCCCGGTCCTCTCCGGAGGCAGCTTCCTGCTCTTCCCCACAGGCAGCCCCCGCCTTCCCCAGGGCGCCGATGGAAAACCAGCACACCGGCTGCCGCCCCCTGCCACATCACCACGGGGCTCGGCCGCTTCTGCCTGATCCTTTCTTCCTGACTGATCCTTCCTTCCTGACCCATCCTTCCTTCCTCCCTTCCTTCTCCTCTCCGCTCCGCTCCCCCCCGCCCGTCTGCCCACAGCCGCACCGCTCCCCGCCCGCTCACCCAGCTCGGCACCCTGTTGCTCAGCTTGACTTTCTTGCACTGGCTCTCGGGCAGCTCCATGGCCGCGGGGGCAGCGACAGGAGGGAGAAGGAGGAGAAGGAACGAGGAGAAGGAAGGAGGAGGAGGAGGAGGAGGACGCGCGTTCACCACTGATGCTTGATGCGGATGAAGCCGCTGCCCCTGCCTCCCGAGCGCCGTGGCGCGG